CACATTGTTGGATATTTGTTTAGTAAGCTTATTATCAGTCTATGCTCGCGCAGTGGGTTGATTCAAAAGCCGTGTTCTACCACTGAGTTATCTTGTCCAACAGGCCTTAACACTCAATTATCTGTTAGCAGCTGCCTTCGAAGGGCACGCGAGTTGCTTCTTCCAAACCAAACTAACGTAAATTTCGGGCAATAGAAAAAAATTATTTGTGTGTTGAAATGTAACAGGAAACAGAGTTAGTCAAACACCCAGCAGGATAAACTTTATTTATCATAAACAAATTCTCTGTGGTTCATTAGACGCGTGCTTCTTTCCCGGCATTTTGTAAATTGTTTCAAATTATCACGCGCACAAATCAGCGGGAACCCATTGACACGCACAATGGACAAAACGTTTCGTTCTGATGAACAACCCTTTTGCAATCCCGACGAACGACTGGGTGTCACAGTAACTGTACATGTTTGTATGTGCTACGTAAAAACAACTAGTTACTAATTGTATCACAATGTTTACGGGCGCCTGAAACAGTTTACCGCAGTAAGGAGGCCAATTATACGCAGTCTTAGTTTTGTAGTGGTTATGTGGTTACAAGATTTATAGCTATGCTCAGAGTTAGCCGGCTATGGCCGGACAAAATTGGAATAGTTGATAATTGAGATGTATCGCTTGCTTTTAGCCAGAGGCAAGAGAACTCCAATTAGATCTCAGTGGGATATACATCTGGATGCCAAAAACTTCAATGAATTTGGACAACAGTTTTGCTGAAAAACTCATCACTAATTACGAAAACCAAGCAAAACACGCAGTCGAATCTATGGGACTTTTATTTCATTTGATTAACCTTTGCTTATTATACCTAAAACTTAAACTATAGCAAGTCTCTTTGAAACATATCTTCTGAATGCATTCCTTTTTATTCGAAAATTTGGTATCAATTAAAGTCTTCTTTGCCTCTTTAATGTTTTTCGTTCTCAGCATCTGTTAAAAACTGGTATTGTTTTTGCGTGCCATCAAGTTTACAACTAAGTCGATTTGTACATTTAACTGAAGTCGGGATTTCTTAAGTCCTTCCTCGAATGTTTCGAAGAGAATGGTTTGAACAAGTAATAGGTTTCTTGTTTCTCTCATAAACAGAGCCTGCACGGAACTGTTAGCGTGGAACATGACTTAAAGATCTGTCATGATACTTTGCAATTAGCGCTTTAGCACCAAAAATAATTAATAAAAATCTGATAACTAAGATCGTTTAAGACAACTGGATTATTAAATGGTGATAAGGAAAAAAATTTTAATGACAGAAAAAGGCGCCAGCTTGTCTTCAAATAGTTCCAGCAGTTAAGAATGCTGAACAGAATTAAAATGAACGTTTAAATAAGAGATTTGATGAAAAATGGCAATTTGTTTTATCAGTAGTTTCAATGCTCTCTCCTCGCAAACAAACAATGAAACATTGTCCTATGATAACTCACCTCAAAAGAGGATGTCATCCTCTCCTTGTTCCCTTTAAATGTTGCTTCAGTGTAACGCGAATTGTTATCGATGTGGTGCAAACGCTTGAATTCTGAGCATAATCAGCCGCATCAGATAAGAAACACATTTACAGGTTAAAGTAATTTACAGGCTGTGTACGTAATTTAAAGGCTTAAAGGATTAATTATCTGTTAAAAAATAATAAATCTTGAAAACTAGTCATCCACCGCAACTTGAACTTGAAGTCTGAAGTTGTTGCTGCTTTTATCAGTCTATCACGCGCACCAAATGACAGTACATTTGGATCGCGCTGGGTATTATCAACGTGTGATTGAAAACAAACAAATATCTTATAGACATATCAACTCTGTACTAGGCAGAGCGAGTCAAAGTGTTATCGTAGACAAACGCCTCAGTCTTCACAAATCATTCAGTAACAGAGTGTAAAAGCTGTGTCTGAAATAACATTTCGTTAATTCAATATTTTGGCCAAAAATTTGAATAGTCTGTCAAACGCATTCGCTATTGTAAAGGTGAAGATAAATAATGCGTACGAGAAATATATTGTGAGCATGAAACCCGGCAAAGCGCAAATAACACATGTACAAACTTTATTAATTCATCCAACAAGGTTTTTTCGGAATTGATTTTAATTTCCAGGAAAAACAGAATACTTCTAACGTAACAATTAATGTTTATAAAATGAAACGCCATAAAATTCAACAAAATTCCACAAATAATAACAGTATATATATATATATGAATTCCTAATCTCGCACCTCCATTTTTACCCTCCTGTGAGACTTTCTCAGTGAGGTTTTAATTCAAATATTGGTCGATTCTTATCTCTTCGACTGATTTTTTTACCAACTATGTAAAAGCTTGTTGGATTTAGGTGGATTCCGTTGCATTGCTGTTTGTTGGGGAATCATATCTGATCCGATTCTACATTGACACTTTTTCTCATTTTTTCACTTAAGTCGCGGCGAAAAAGGTGTGAGGATATTTGAACAAGAAATGCAAACATTCATTATTTGCTCGATATGGTGAAAGCTTATAAAAAGACTTAAGCGAGATGGGAAGAGATGGTTGACCGAGAAAAACATTAATATTTGTCAGTTTGAGGTAGAGTCATCTTAGCTGATTCTCACAACACATTGCTGATCAATTAAAACAAAGGTAAATTTGGGCTAAAGACACGCTTAGGGTTCTTCTAGGATAGAGTCACGAAAACCCCCAAAACGCCTTTAGGATAATTTTCATCGTTTGAAAAGCTTATGTGGGATTTTATTTTGCTTTGCAGTGAGGGGATTTCAAATTTTTGTTTTCGTTGTAGAGCCTACTAGTTTTTTCTGAAGTTAATTTTCGACGTGACTTTTAATATATTTTTTGCCACCTTATAGTGGGAGTAGAAATGAAAATTATCGAGTTATCGTTAATTTTATCTTTTATCAGTGCAAAATTTAAATTTTTAACCTCATTTACCTAAAATTCTGTAGATCACTTTGACCTCCTTCAGGGCAGCCATTAAGTGTCTGTAATTTGTTTCCCTCATAGCCAATAACTTGAGCCAACTCTTTATGCAGATGAGTGAAATGAATTAGCTAACATAATAAATTTCAAGTCTTTCCTTATTAAATAATCGACGATATATTTTCGACCATCAGAGGCTTTGCAGTTGAAAAAACATTTTCCTCCGGCTATTTACTTTCAATGGGAACAACGCACTTTTGTATTTGGAAATTTTGTGTTTTAGGGGTCTACAAAATTGAATTGGCTGTAGACGACGACATACGTGGGTGTAAGGAGGCAAATAAAAAAGGCCGATTGATCGCTCATTTTTTATTCAGACTAGGCATCTTGCTGTTGTTCATGCAAAGATTTGCAAGCGACTTTTTCACAAAAAGAAATTAACTTCGCAGCACGCTCCCTTCTTTTCTCGTTATTTGTAAAAGCAGATTTCCCATGCTGTTTGAGTTCCGTTTCGGCGTGAAAAACATTGAATTAATCAGGACCGGATTAGGAATTAATCTCCATTTCTAAATTGGCAGAACAGCATAAGAGAATGAAGGCATTTCGACTTCTCTATTGGAAAGCTACTGTGGGACGTTTTTTTATTTCTTCGGCTGGGTGAGTGGCATTAAATACGGAAATCGCCGTAAGAATGAAACTGTATACATGTGGTGCGTATAATTGAATCAGACACTTGGTAAATTATTTTTTCATTTATGTATACTGATATAATATTAGTAAAGCAGGATCGGCTTCTAAATACGAGTTCAACGATGAATTTAAGATTTTATTGCCGTTTGTGATACGAATTGTTCATAAAAATCTGATATTACCTTGTTTTATGTCATTGATTTGTTTTTGTACAGTGCTCATGATCATGCATCAGCTATTTTCTCGGTTTTTACTCTTTATTTTTTGCGTTTTTGAGAGAGAGAGAGAAAGAGAGGGCAATTTTTGAAAGGAACAGGGATACAACGTAATCCTGGTGTAGCCGTTTTTATTTCCCTTTTTAGCTGTTATTCATGCATAAGCCTCTCCGTACCCTCTTCATCAAAAAACAAAAATCTCACCTAATTAATTCTGTTTGAAAAACAACACAAGAGCGCCTGAAACGACAAACTATATTGTTAAATTATCTCCCAGCTTTTAGCTGCATTACTTCTTCTTTTGCGGATAACGTTTTGCGCCAGTGCTGAAGATATGTCACGTATAATTGCACCTGGGAAGTTAGGGCCGCCTTAGAATACAAAAATTTGCAAGCAGCAACTGAATATCCAACGACTTTGTAGTTCTGAAAGTCGGAAAAACACTATAATTCAATAAATCCGATTTAGTTTATGGTATGACGAATTGAAACTTTGTGCGACGCTCAACGTTTACTTTGTGATCTACGTTTCGGAAAATTCAATTGATAGAAGTATTGGTTCTGGCAGCTTAATTACAACACTTGCTTACAAAAAGTCTGACCGGCACTTTGTAGATTGAGCTGAAGATATTGGATAATTCCAATTCTATTCGACATCAATATGATTTGAGCAAACATAGTGTAAGTTTGCGCGAAAGTAAAAAGCTACCGCAGCAATTTACTTTCTTAATCAAGTGATCAAAGTTGTCGAACTAAAATGATTTTTAATGAATACAGCTGTGCTCCATTATTAATTTTCTGTTAAAAGAAAAAAAAATTTATTAATTAGACACAGTATCAACGGGTCTATCTTCTTTGAAGGCTAGTTATCGGTGAAGCAAGTGGTGAGAATGAAGAATGAAGGTTTTTAATTTCAGTCAATTCAGTGGAGACTGAGAAGTAGATCAGTTGCTAAGTAAAATACAATAAAGATGTAAATTAAAATACAATAAAGATGAACGTTTTCCTTCTCATTTTCGCAGAGCGGTTGCTGATCTGGATTAATTAGTGGAGACGAAGAGCTTAACTGCACAGCACAGACTGTGTTCTCATCGGAGGACTATCTCTAACAGATTATCGATAAACATTTGGAAACAGTTATCGATAACACACCATGGGTGCTGATGGAAGTCTCAACTCCACCTTGAATGAAACAGCTAATCCTGGCGCTTGCCCTGTACATTACGAAACAACGGCAACACAAACCATAAAGACACTGGCTTACTGTGTTATTATTTTACTCTCGCTAGTTGGAAACTCAATAGTAATATTTACAGTGTGGAGAAACAACAGTATGCGAAGCGTCACCAATCTCTTCATCGGAAACCTGGCCGCCAGTGATCTTTTAATCACGTTCCTTGGAATGCCAAACATGATAACTCAGCTTTATCTCGGACAAAAGTGGATTTTCGGAGAGGCCATTTGTAAGATTGTGGTCTTTTTTCAGAGTGTTTCCGTAGCAAGCTCTATTTTGACTCTGCTGGCGATTTCCTTCGATCGTTTCTGGGCCATCATCTTCCCATTTAAAAGACGGCCATCGTTCTTTGCGGCCAGATTAATGCTCGGTGTCACGTGGGTGATTTCTCTGGCAGTAATGGCTCCGTTTCTGTACGCGCAAAGAGTTGTAGTTGTTGCAGATGGGTACGAGATGTGTATCGAAGATTGGGCCCCCGCTTTTAACCCCCAAACTGCAGCAAAGGACTACACCTTAATACTCTTCGTGACATTGTACGCCTTTCCGTTACTTACAATGCTCTTCATGTACTCATTCATTGTCTCTAAACTATGGAAAAGGCAAATTCCGGGTTTTCGTTCAAGCGGAGACGAGATCAGAACGCGCACATTGAGGAAAAAAGTCGTCAAAATGCTTATAACAGTGATAACTCTGTTCTGCGTATGTTGGCTGCCTCTTCACGTGTACCTGTTTATAGTTTTCTTCGCCTATGATAAAATACCCTGTTTTGACTCCTCTCTGAGCTTTTATTTCACTTCCCTGTTCTTAGGACATGCAAATTCGGCCATAAACCCATATTTGTACGCGTTATTTCATCGGAAATATCGAGAGGGATTCAAAGCGGCTTGGACATGCTCCGCTATTATCCCGGATGATATGGGTTTTAGCAGGACTTACAGTCGCCGCCGAAGCTCGTCTAATATCACGTGGTTAACAAGATCTAACAGATCGCTGATGATCGACCGTCGATTTAGCACCGCTGCCATTAGCGAAAAACGCCGTCTAAGTGCAGTTACCATCGCCGAAAAACGCCGTTACAGTACGGCTACCATGCCAGGAACCACAAGGAATGCTTTGTCGAGAAAACAAGGCACAGTTACGAAACCTGTCAATGTCTAATCCGACTGACGAACTCTTATTTTTAAACAAATTACTCAGATGGTTGTGCATCTTTAAAAACATAGCTTAGGATTTTTAAGTATATTAAACAAACCGTGCTAACCCCTCTCCGAGTTTTTACAGTACTAGCTCCTGTTTGCTTTTGTTTTACCACTTTGGATTTTTTCTCTCTCAGTTACCAAAGTAATATTTTGTGGTTTTCTCTGATCAGTTCGCATGTCATAAAGAAACGACTCAAGCCGAGGGAAACTAAAACTAATGTAACATTTGTAACAGATCACATCGATATCATTTGCGCTTTATTTTCCTCTTGCTTAACCTTTTCATTCCCAGGAGTGACCTAACGGAAATTTCTCTGTAAATGTGATGAGGAGAAACAAAAACTATCTACAAGAGGATATTGTTTGATTTTACACCAAATTCTCGGAGATAAGATTACAGGGGATGTATCAAAAACAGTAGGGAGAGTTGATATCCAGATCTTGCGGGTGAGAGGGTTAACTGACCTGACAGATCGTAAATAAATCAATCGCTTGGGTTTGAATATCTAATTCTTCAAGATCTATAAGCTTTCCGCAAAAATAAGAGGTAAGTTTTTGGAACGAAAACCTTTCTTGATACATACGTAGGATTAAATTTATCATTATATACACAAAGCGTGGTTTGAAATTACGTTCAAAACAAAGCATTAGAATTATTTACAAGAATAATAAAAATAAAATATTCAAAAACCGAAAAGCGTATGTCATGGATATCTTTAATTCCTTTTTTTTTCGAAGATTTTCTTGAACACTTTACTTTGTCCGTCATTTTTCTTACCCTCTTAGGAAAGCATCGAAAATCTGCCTAGCTATTCCTTGTCAGTTTTCCAGATATTCTTCAGACGGCCAGGTTGACAGCAAGATTTTGGCGAGATATTGAACTTTATCCGTGAGTTATAACCCCTTACTGTGCTTTCCGTTTACCAGAGATTGGAGGTTTCTTTTTCAGCGTTTTCATTTACCGATGAGATTCGACTGTCGTAAAACCTCCGTTCTAGAAAGAGGGGGGGGACGTACTTGCGACATAAGTGCAATCCTGTTACCTTTCCGTGAAATAGGCCTTATTTTGTCAGAAAGATTTGTATTTCCCTCATATGCGCCCTTTCTTCTACCATAAGATTCCTTTATTTCAGCAGTATCTTGACATAGATGAAGAGCTCGGCCTACTAATGGTTGATAGCGTGTTGATTTTATTAAGTCTCACGATGCAAACCTTTTTATGACTTTTATAGAAACTACTTCCTTGCTGGAAAACTCATGATGTACTAATTTGCCACAACTGTAAAACTGCCTCCTTGTTGAAATACGCATGATTCAAAGATGAGCCACAACTATGAAACTGATTCACTGTTGAAATAAACGACTGATGCAAAACCGAGCCACAACAGTATCTGTACGTGTGTGCTATCTGTTTAACACACATTCAAGATGCTAACAGAATAATCTGGTTAGTATGGAATACAATCAACAATTTACTAGCTCCTTGCAACACTGAGCTGGTAAAGCGTTCGAATTTCGACCACGAGAAGTCTAAAGTTTGAATCGTTACGGAGGTCGGCCCCAAATTTGCTTTTGCCAGTAGGTGAGCTATGGCATTTCGTGCAAACATTAACGGACTGTAGTTTGTGAAAAATAACCTAACAAACGTTACCGCGGGCTCACCTCCTCCGTTTGGCGGCAAAGAGCGCGCGAAGGTCGACCGCCATTATAAGTTGACTACACGAATGTTGGTTATTTGTACCGAATTTCGATCGACAGAATGAGCTTATGGGTGGATAAATATCGTCCGACTTCCTTATCCAAGCTAGACTACCATAAGGATCTTGCGGCACATTTGAAAAAACTGGTATGCTTAGTTTGTTTATGTACGAAATAATTCGGGCTGTAGTTTGGACGTTCAGAAGTACTTTATTCCGCGCTCGTTGACGCAGAATATTCTTTCAAATGTCTCTAATGCTAAAAAGCGACTAATCTCAAGCGCTTGGATTCATCCTCGCTTGGTTCTCTCTGGTTTTGCAACGCGTAAACCTAATCCAACTGCATATAGGGTTAAAGTATGGCGGCCAGCGAATTTCGAGGAACATAACTTTTTGTAACATTGATACTCTCTCCTTCCATATCTACCCCCAACGCAAGCAGATACTTTCCCTTTGTGACTTGTTGTAAAATATCACATGCAGTATGTTGTTAACAGAAATACTTTTATGTAAAGGTGCACTGTGGAGACTTTCCACATCTATTAGTTTATGGCCCATCAGGGGCTGGGAAGAAGACCCGTATCATGTGCATCCTGAGAGAGCTCTATGGTCCTGGTGTGGAGAAATTGAGGATTGAACAACAGAGTTTCACGGTAAGTCTTCGATGATATGTATATTTCAAACATTATCACCAGCTTGACAGAAAGGATCATTGGCCGAAAAAAAACTATTGCTCACAGTAGATGCCTTAACAGTACATGTACTTTTATGAAAACTGCACTCACTACATCACCGGAAATTCCAAAGAATGAATTAGAGAAACTGAAAATATCAACAAAAGGTGGCTTTTCAAGGGAGATACTCAAACAATTAACCAATCTTTATTCAATTTGTGATTACTGCTATCTTATTTCAAAATAGACCCCGTCAAACAGGAAGATTGAGATGTCAACTATTGGCAGTGCTTACCACTTAGAAATCAATCCAAGGTAACATGTAATTTCCAAAAGATGCTTTATGCACTGCTGCCTGGTTAGCTCTTGTTGTAGAGCACCGAACTACCTTGCTGCAGGGTGACAGTTCAAGCCCCAGACCAGAATGACACTCAGGGTCTTAAAACTAACTGAGAATGTGCTGCCTTTGTTAAGACATCTGAAAATGGTTAGACATTCTAGTCGTCTTGCATAAGGATGATAAACCATAGGCCCTGTCTCCTGCATATTCTCTGTACTGGTTAGCAGGGTACATTAAAGAACCTACCTACTTATGGCAAAGAGAAGGGAAGGTATCTCCCAGTATTGTGGTTTTGGCCTTAATTCTGAAAATGGGAATTCGTGTATCAGTAAAAAGTTCCTTCAAAAATTGTAAACTTCTGAATGCAGTCAAGCCAGTCTCCCTCAGTCAGTGTTGTGAGGTACCATAAGCCAATTGTTGTGATGTCATTGAAATCCTTTATTATTTTGATATTATCATTATCATTATTTAGGTAAACTGGTGTAATACTGTATGCTTATGAATTTTTCCATGTATTTTTCAGTATCTTGCTCTATTTATGTGCAATTCGACATAAGAAAAGAGAGGGTTTGCACTAGTGTATTTATGGACCTGTTCTCAGTCATGAGAACAGAGTCATTTTACCACGAGCATGTTTGTTTAACTTGGAGCTTTTCTGTTTTCCTTTCCCTTAACCTCATTAAGGGCACAGTTTACAAGTGTGCAACACAAATAAGTCTGTACTTGAGCTAAGTGGCCTGTGTGGCTGGAGCTTATCTTGGTTTCCATGACACAGAGCAACTATGACTATTCCTATTGCCCCTAGGATGGGATGTTTGTCCACTGCAAGGATATCCCCAGCATTTCATCAGGCCTCCCAGATTTCAACAGTACCCATTTGTACTTGTATCAGAGTCCACCGCACAAACCATTAGACTACTACATCTCCCCATGACTGCTGAAAGACTGTTTTCAAAAGCCCCTGGATGCTTAGTTGTTTTTTTCTTCCTTTATTCCAAGAAGAAATGAAATGTATATTGATATTTTTGTTGTTGATTATTTTGTGTACAGTGATGCTGGGATTTATGATCGTGTTGTAGTCCAAGAACTTATCAAGACTGTTGCACAGTCACACCAGTTAGATTCAACAACACAAAAGGAATTTAAAGGTAGCATTAACCATGATTTACCTCACCATACTATGTTTAATTTTAGTGCTTACTACAGACTCTATTTTACTGAGAGCACCATATCTAGTTTCATTGTGATACAAAGTACATATTATGTATATCTTGTGAGATACTATTGTAAGAGTACAAATTTATACAATATATAATTGTGCTCAGTGGCCAAACCTGCTGATGTTTTGGTTGCCAAGGGTGAAAAAAAAATTGGTGTCTGAATTTACAGCAAAAAGTCCTTAGTTTGGTAACTTGTGTTTTGGGTTATATGGTATTGTACTTTTAAAGTTGAAGTAAGATTAACATTTTCATGAAACATTATTTATGCAATTTTGTTAACTTTGATAATAATGTGCTTCTTTGTATCTCTGAGTTCATCACATTATGTAACATTGTGCAAAGTAATCAAAATTTTCTCTCTGGTGACTGTTTTATAACTTAAGGTCTCCATGAGGTAGCTTCTAAAAGAATACTGAATTACCAGTTCTGTGGGTGTGTATGGCAAATATCATACTCATCTAACTTTCCTACAATAAAACAACATGATAGATGAATTCTTACAGGTTAGTGTCTTATTTTATTTTCAGTGGTAGTCTTAACAGAAGTAGACAGACTCACTAAGGATGCACAGCATTCTCTACGCCGAACCATGGAAAAGTACACAGCAACATGCAGACTGGTTCTTTGCTGTAACTCAACGAGCAAAGTCATTCCTGCAATTCGCAGTCGTTGTTTGGGAGTCAGGGTGGCTGCTCCATCAGTGGATGAGGTTTGTTATGAATGATTGACAAAACTTCACCAAAAAATGGCTATACATGATGAAAGATTTTCATTTTGCAATTTGGCAGAGAAATATTTTGAAAGACTGTAGAATTCAGGAAATTTCCTAAATGATTATCAAAATAGTTGAGATCATGTCTCATTTTTCTCTGCAAAACAAAACTTGTAAAGTATTTGTTCATGACAAACTACAGCATTACTGAGTGAAATGAATTTCTTTATTGATATTTCCCAAATGTTCCTTAACAGAGAGAGGTGACTCTCCCTTTCCTTGTGTTAAAGTAGAACTTGTACCTTGGTGTTTCATAGAGAGTTATTTCACATAGCCCAGTGGAACTGTTAAGTGTTTTGTATTTATGCAAAGTTTGTGAAATGTTAATTTAGTTCCATAAAAGATATTGATAATTGAAGAGATGTGTATGTAAACTGTGTAAATTTATTAGTTTTGTGCACAGGATAAGTTTACATTATTTCTGAATGTGCAGCCCTCCACACCAGTAAACAGATTCTGATTTACTGGAATGATAATTTTTCTGATTGAATTTATTTACAGATTTGTCAAATACTTCACAATGTTTGCAAAAAGGAGGGCCTGACTATTCCAGCAGAGCTTTCTAAGAGAATCGCTGAGAAGTCAAATAGGAATCTACGGAGAGCCCTGCTGATGTGTGAAGCTTGCAGAGTTCAACAGTAAGAGCTTCACAGTTAGACTGTACAGTGTACAGCCTAAAAATAATGACTAACAAAGCATAATTAGTGCAATTATGTGAAGGTTACCCTCAGAATTACTAGACTATGGGTTGAATGGTGCAGGTTCAAGTTTTGGTTGGGATCAGAGTGTTATGTTCTTGAATGAGACAGTCAGTGTCTCTCTCTCTCTCCCTGCCAAGGAGTGTAGGTGAGCACCAGCTAACCCTTAGGCAACTTGGTTAAATTTGGGAGGTAACCTTTGTACTTGGGGGAGTAGCAACACTCACACCTTTTTCCTATACAGTTCATTCTCAATTGTATTCCTGATCTTACCTTTTTTACAATGCATGCACGTGCAGGTATCCTTTCTCGCCTGATCAACCTGTTCAAGAGGCAGACTGGGAGGTGTATTTGAGGGACACTGCACAGCAAATTGTTGAGCAACAAACACCTAAAAGGTCAGGTTACAACTTGCATTGCAATTCAATCCTGTTTGATGGATATCTGCCATTGAATTAAAGTAATCATGCCAAACAAGATGTTAGAAAAACATGCTAGTTAATTGATTGACTTGAAATGGAGTGCATGCACACATTGATGGTACTTATCACACAATGCCCTGTTAAGAGCAAGCTAAAGTAATGCATGTACATGTTCACCCATGCTAAATGTAGCTTCATTACTGACCTCAGTAATAGATACAGGGTTAATATGTATTTTGTTGTTTTTTAATTTCGATTTTTTGTTCATGTATATTCAGGTTGTTAGAGATAAGAGGTAGATTTTATGAACTCTTGACCCACTGCATTCCTCCTGATGTGATATTTAAGGTAAGAGAATAATAATTACTGTAGTCCAAAAAGGGACAGTCTCACGCCACTTTTTCAAATGTTTTCAATAAAACTTTTTTCTTGCTGTCAAAATTGTTGAAAAATTGGCTGTGATAAAATGAAGGTTACATAAATAGCTCCTATGCTTTGAAAGTTTGTGTTTGACCAGTCACATCACAAGTAAGCTAAAAAACCTAATCTTTTATGTAGACACACTGACTGGACTATCCTGTGGTTTTGTAGGGTCTGATCAAAGAATTAGTGACCAACTGTGATGGCAGTTTAAAAGCAGAAGTAACAGAAATGGCTGCCCACTATGAACACCGTATTCATCAGGGAAATAAGGCCATTTACCACTTAGAGGCTTTTGTGGCAAAGTTTATGAGTATTTACAAACGCTTCTTGGAGGAAGGAATGGCAGATTTGTTTTAGGATTAGGGCCATTGTTGCGTTGGAATTAACACTTAAAAATGAAAAAAATCTTGTAAACTTTAGGAAATAAGCATCAATAAATGATTTATATTTGTGCTAAACTAGTTGCTTCCTCTGTCTCCCCCTACTTCTCTCCCACCCCCTCCCCCCTCGAGTTTGGACTTTGTTTAGAATACGGAAAGCGCATTATGGCGCGTGGTAAGGGTGGTCTTTTTTTTAATTAGCAACATGTCTCTTTGTTTATTAGCAACAACCTGAACAAGACAATACTTTATGGAAATTACGTATCGACCGACCCATCACATAAGGGACTTTTAATGTTTGTTCAACAACAGGAACTGTTGTGTTTGAAGCAAAGTTCGAGTTTTATCCAAAGAGTTCTGCAAACCAACAACGACGTAGATTGTACTCGCCATCTTTCCTTAGTTTTTTGTCTATCAATTAAAATTGATACTACTCGGGACCAAGTTTATAAAGAAACTGTGGCACTGGCTCGATGGGAGGTAATGCAAGATTATTTTGTTTAATCAACAGAGTTGATAATTTACATTGGTCACCGTAATTGACATTTCGAGCGTTAGCCCTTCGTTAGAGCAGAAGAATGTGTTCGGCTTTGGTTTCAAGTACTCTTCTTGTTTCTTCTTTCTCTCTTCCTTGTCGGTTATGTGCGCTAGGTTTCAAGAGCAAATATTAAAATTACACTTCCGGCAAGACTTACATGTCGTGACTTTCCGCAGTCACGCGTAAGGCCGTGAAAACACATTCTTTCTAAATAATTGAGCTAATTATAATATCTGAAAATGCTTTGAGTGCATTTTGCGTCTAAGTCAGTTGCGCATTGTTAAACTTTCAAAGTTATAGACACGTTGTGCTGAGCAGCTTCCTAAAGGGTACAGCCGTATAGATTTAAGTTTCTTACCGAAAAAACTGCAGGTGAGTTCATCGAAATGTTGCTAAATTGTTGTGACGAAATGAGCCGAAATTTGACCATGAAGTTTATTTCAAAGCATGCATCCATACACTAATCGGAATAGCTCTAAACTTTTGATTTAAGCCACAAAATCAGAGATTGCATTCCTACAGTAGCATGTCTTCTGTACTTCATTTGTTACTCCCCTGAGAGGAACTAAACCGATAAGTGGTGGTTTACTCGTGCGGTTCAATGACTGTGATAAATAAACGACGACGGCCGGACGTTGTGTCGAAAACGAACCTTCCACTCCTTCGATGCGTTTCTTTAAGAAGTTCACTCATTGCTGAATTCATTTTTATGCTTTTTACTGGAACCTTTTCCCTGCGAAGTATGTGCTTTCGATCGAGAGACAAAGCGGATCATTCACTAATAACCACGGCCTGTAGTGAGCTCCTCAACACTCAGTTAACAAATATCAAGAAGTAGCGGAGATCATAAGCGAAACTGTTGAGTGTGGAACCCTCGGCGCAGTGATACCTGAATGTAACCGACACTGTTTAGAAGCGATTGTTTGAAATATCACCGCACTACAGAATTTATTCTGATTTGAGACTTTTTGTAGCAAGTTTTCATGTGGGAAGTATACGCTTTCGAGAGAAGAATGGATCATGAAGATCACTCTACACTGAAATGAGTATGGAAGCGAAAGCTCGTCTATAGCTTAATTAGACTGTCAGGAACTCGAAAGCGAAACTGTTCAAGCGGAAGAGCTCCAGAAGTTTTTTCGTTTAGGTTAGAAGTTCTCCCTGTTGTTGTTTTCAAGTTTTTTTCTTTTTTTTGCTTAATGTTCAGGATTTGGGACAATTTTGGTTCTCAAAGTCATACAGACATAAAAAAATTCTAGGAAAGTCTGTCATGACAGTTGAACCGTAAAGGCCGGCTTTACAAAGATTTATTTTTAGAAAATTTCAACCGCAATGATTATGCCTGAGGCAGACACGAAACTTTCATTTTCGATTTTACCTTGAATCTTCGGCAACTCGCAATGCAATGTTTCATGCAATCTTGCGTCCTAGCCTCTTGAAGGCTCTGCATCATTAAACAATATTTCTATATGTTTTATCGTCAATGTCAACCGGCAAGCTCTTTGAAAACTCTTCCCCAGATAAATGACTCCTTAACAATGCTTTTAAAGAATTCTTCGAATTCTGCTTCGAGACCTTTTTAATTTGTATCTCAGTTTATACACAGTCCATCACAGACCAAAGAACAGACTTAGAAACTTACGAAAATGAAAATGTTGGTATCTGAAAATTCATCTGCCTGCCATGGTTTGAAAGTGAAGAGTTTTTTTTCTGTGTGCGTGAGCGTCTGTACGTAAACAACTTCATGCAAATACTGTCCTGTGTATTTGCACAATTTTGTGTAGAAGTTCCTGTTAGCAGGCTGTTATATTCGTGAATTCCTTCCTCCCAAAACATTTTTGCTCCGTATCAAAATGAAGTGCAGATGAAGAACATTTCATGACAACAAATGATCTAGCTTATCTCAAGCATATCGGACGATGTTTTTACTCTAATGCAAATTCAAACAAAAGGTACAAGATTAAATTTCGTCAGTATTAAGACAGGAGATGTATAGCGACCTTTCCTGTGAATTAAAGTCGTTTTCGAACTACGGCCGCGTATTTGGAAAATATTTCACAGTGAAATTAGCACAAGTCAAGAAGAATAAATGCGAGTGAGCCGACATAATGCTCATTTCTTAGGACAGAAAAACTCGATTTACTGTGCTACACATTTTTCTCACAATTATATTTTAAATTCATTTGGTATTTTATGTTCCTAGATCAAGTAGTCTTGACTTTTCTCATGATGAAGATAAGCTTCCCATTAGCACTGCTCCTTCAAATTCTATTCCTGTCTGCCGTATTTCAACTCATCAATGGACAAGGGGGATCCTGTGAACAGACGTCGAACACGACCCGATCTCAAATCTGCCTGACAGGAGTGTGTGATCTTCAGTGCGGAAATACTGCGGACTATTCTCAATGTGACCAGGTTTGCGTGGTGGAACCTTGCCCAAATATCAGCTGCAACTCTTCAAGTTGTTATCAGCGATGCCTGTCAGGAAAGTGTAATTCAGTTGAATGTTCCGGCGACGATTGCACCCAGACTTGCCTCAGAAACTGCTCCCTGGTGAACTGCACTGCAACATCGAAGTGTACTCAACACTGCGAGAAGGGAAACTGTGGCTTACTCGCCAGCGGTGCAGACGTAGTTCAAAATTGCGCCGAGAATTGCTCACATGTGGAATGTAAGGCTGACAACTGCAAGCAAGGCTGCGAGGGGGAGAGGTGTGGACTCGAGTGCTCCAAAGGTAAGTCCTTTGAAAAAGAAAAAGAAGAAGAAGAAGAAAAGAGGAAGAATAAGCAGGATAAAAGGGAAAAAAAAAGGGCTACAAATGAGCTCAGGTGGCTTTTGACATCGCTGATCCTAGGAGCAGACAGGCCGCTTGTCGCATGTAAATCCAGTATAGAACGTAACTTACTGTTAGTTCTCCTCATAGTTCAGTTATTAGTGCATCCGAATGTGAAATTGGAACAAGCTAAATTCAAAAAATTATTTTTACGATCTCTTATAGGTACCAAGGACTGTACACAGAGTTGCAAAGGGCCTTGCAAAATTCAGTGCGAAGCTTCAAAGTGTGAAAGTAATTGCATAGGAGGCAGCTGCAACTTGGAGTGCACGAACAGCGACTCCGAATCTTGTCAACAAACCTGCGCGCAAGGAGCCTGCGATATCAAGTGCACAGCGAAAGAATGCAAAAGTGAATGCTTGGGAGGCAATTGCGCCAATTTCAAGTGCACTACTGGCCAAGGTAACTGCAGCCAGATCTGCGAAAAAAACTGCACCAACATGAGATGCAAGGCAAAGGAGTGTCAACAGACCTGCACAAAGGGACATTGCAAAATGTATTGTGAGAAGGGTTCAGGCATGTGTGTTATGTCCTGTCCTGGTGGAAATTGCTTGTTGGATTGCAATGGAAGCAAGTGTAGACGCGACTGTAAAGGAGGCTATTGCGAGAATACCGGAACAGGTGTGGAAGTGAAGGACCCTACTGTAAACCCGTCAGTGCAGTCTACAACTCCTAAAGCTGACGCAAAAGGATTGGTCGTCACGTATTTGTCTTTCCTACTGCCTGTGATGTCAGCATATGTCCTGTCTGGCCATTAATTCTGACAGTCCTGGATAAAAACTTCGACCGAGAGTGATACTTGTTATGCGAGCACCATACTTAATGGCTCGGTTGTTTTTCATTGAACATTTTAGTTTTTGCACAGGGTTAGGAATTTCATAACATTGGGTCAACTAAACTGTAAGTTGTATTAGTTGAAGTTGTATTAGTTGAAGTTGTATTAGTTGTATTAGTTGTATTAGCAAATGCTGCTGTTTTCGCTGATTTAAAACAGGGATGCGCGCACCTTACTCGGCAACCTACGTGTAGCCGTACCCTCCTCCTCAAAGTGAAACCTTGCGGGGGGAGAGTACGGCGTTGAGGTAATTTTAAAGAAACGTAATCGCTTTTGTAACCACTGTGTTTCTGACACCGCTATACGCCTAAGGCTAAGAATGAGTAGTTGAATTATAATCCCATCATAATAAAAGTTGACAATATTTCTAACGCATCCCATGAAAAGCTTTTACATAGTTATGAGAGTATAATCCTCTCTACGGATCCTAGGTAATGCATATGTTGATTAGATATTTTAGATGATGTAATAGTTCCCGTTTGTAAGGCAAAATAATGAATAAAATTCATCAATTTAAGCATTCATTCGAAGGTCACAGTGACCGCTGAATTTGATTATTCTTCGTCCAACTCAACTTGATTATCAGGCAGCTAAATACACATGGATATAAAACATTTAAACAATCCATTAACTAACAATCAGCTAAACCCTCCAATATTTTTTCATTAATTTCAATGGAAAATGCAAAATTTCTTTCATTTCAAGGGAACCACAAAATATTTGTTTGATAAGAGAGCAAAGTGATAAAATGGAAAGAATCACCACAAAAGGAATGCTTATGGCGAAGGGTGGACAAGATTGATGTGTTTTTGACAAGCGATCTGTTGTTCATTTGCGTTGGACGCCTTGTTTTTTCAGTTGAACGTCATCATTTGGTATCATGCTATTACTCATTAAAATGTTGTATACAAAAAGCTTTTCCATGATGATGTAATTTCCTCCTTGAGGAAATGTACTTATTACGTATCTGCTGTTTCTAAGTTTCTTATTTTTATTTCCATGACAAATAGGATTTTGTTCGCGGAAAAATACCCATGACATTCTTTTGGCGCCAAACAGGAACTGTCAAGAATATATATTGAATTTGCATTGAAACGCAGGAAAATGAGATCTAGTTCCTATTAGTTTTTAAACGAACGCCAGACAACGGCGTGTTTAGGTTACTCTTAAAACTCTTACAAGTTTACTCCGTCGATAAAAACAATTTCGCCCATTCCATTAGATTGGAAAAGTGTCAAGGAAAATTTCTAGCGCAGAGTTTCTCCTAATTTTCTTTGACATGTGTCACAGTTGTCTCGGCATGATCTATATACACAAGGAAATATAATTTTTTCCTTGATAAATTTCTTCTTTTAGAAGTTATCTTGGCCATAGAGTAACATGTAATTTTTAAGACAATGGAAGGCTCCCAAGCAAAAAGTGTTATATTTTTTCACAGCAAAATTCCCGCTGCTGATGACGCAACTCAGTGAAACACCAATTTAGCATGAGCGTTATTTTTGACGATGGACGGCTATTGATTATAGGTCTTGCTTGTTATTCGTCTGGGAGCCTATTTGGGAAGAACAAAGAGGAGAGGGTATAAATCTCCACTGAAAATGACGCAAATGGATTCATCATTCATAAAAATGAGAGCTTCAGTTTGAATCAAAATAATTAGCCTGTAAACAACTCTTTCCTCGTGGAAGTGAGATCATGGCAACCTCAGACATCCGTCAACAAACCGACGTTAGTCGCTAAAATGGCTCTAATTACATTAGAAATAAAATCTCAAAAAAATACTGTTCCATCATTTTGTGGTATGATCCACAAACATTTAGATACGGCTGCACAGTCGCCTTTTGTAACCATGGACCGAATTTTTTCTGAGGTAATACTCCAACTCCTTTCGCGGAAGTAATTATTGCGATCACACGAAGATACGCTGTGTTATAAAATAATCATGAGATTAAGGGAATTTATGCGTGACCCCACCCGTCAGGAAAGTTCAAAGAAGTTATCCATCTTCCTGTTTTTCAGTTTTATTCTTCAATTTCTGTTTTTAACTTGCTTTTCGTAAGGCGTCGATGAGGACTGCGTTAGTAAAGTTCTTATCAATTCTCAAAAGTTTTAAGTCGCAGTAATGATATTTACTTGCCAACTTTTCCTTCTTGTTTTGTTTGTTTTTTTTTTTTCGTTATTTCTCTTTTTTCTTTATGGGCATCAAGCCCTAATTGCAATAGCCGATCTTTTGATCTTTTGGACCTATAGGCGGGAAGGTTGCCAAACTCTCTTCTACCCTCTATTAATTCTTCTTTTGTAGTTGCACTTGTTGTAATTAACATGTAAAAACGCGAGACTTTCAGTTTCTTGTGCAGGAAATCTTTCTAGAAATGGAATCTACGTGAGACTTTTTCCGTGCAACGTAAAGCTTTTTTCATTTCCATGTTTACAAGCTGAGCACACATATAGTTCTGTTGATGGGGTAGCCAGATATCTGACGCAAGTAAGTCTGCCAAACATTATTGATTTCCAAATGAAGACTTACATCGATCGCAGACTGACTGGTGCCTACATTACTTATCAAAACGATCTTAGTCACTGATTCCTAAAGACCGTTTTGCAAGACTAAGATTCTATAAATTTGCATGGTGGATAAATCGCTCTTAGCAAGTTTAACGCCAGCGCGCGGATTCTGCCAAAGTCATAATTTTCGAGTTTTAATTAAAATCCACTTTATTCTAGTATCTGAAATTTGAATGAAAATAGTTTTCTTTTCATTATTCTAAATAAATTCAGCTGACTTGTCAAATTCATTCGTAGCTGACATTTTACCAATATTATATATGTTTAGGTTACCATTAAATTTTCTAGCGCGCGTTTGAAAAAATTATCAGTACTATCTCCGTGCGATATTTCCCTACAAGATGTAGATATTTTATTCATCAAACACCACCGAGGAAAAAACAACAAATATAATTGAGCATTTGAAGCTTTCATGCACATCTGTTCGATTTTTTCAAATTCAAATTTGTACCACTTGCGTCACTGACGCGCAGCTTAGAAGTGCGTATGAATTGTCAAAGAGTCGTACATTATATAAACGCCGCCATTTCTGCTTTCTGTTTTATACACTTATCACCAATACTGAAAGTCCTCGATCGATTCGCGAAAAATTCGCTCGACAGAAGCACGCTCATTGCGTCAAAACAATTCTTCGGATCACAATCAACTCGGTAAGCTACAAAATAACTTCTTTTTGTTCGATATTTGCAACTTCGAAAAATTATTTATTTATTTATAAACACTGTGCGATCTTAAAGGTATTGGCGTGGCTAGCCACACGTGTATAATCTAGTTCGTTTCTAGCGTAAGGTCTTTTAATTTTCTCGCGGTCTATGAAGAAAACATGAAACCCTAATAAAAACTCTTTACACTGTAGTGTTACTAACTTAGTCGGTTAATTACAGAGTACGGCGCTACGTTTGAGGCAAAAAATGACTGTATATTTCCAATTGATTAGTCTGTAACACGGAAAAGAAAACTCCAGGGCTGCTACCAGAGGCAGCCTCATTTGGACCAGAAACAACAAACTCACTGAAAAATCTTGTCACAGATATTTGCTTACTCGAAACTGTTGTCCTCAAAGGTTCTCAGATGCACGACGACTCCAAAATGGGCAATTTATTGCAAAAAAAATATCAGTTAGATATTTCTCAAATTTGTAATCAGATTGTTTTTGGCTCTTTCCCTTCATGGCTCTTGTTTAGGCATAACTCACCGTGGTAATTCTCTCGGTTCTGTCTTTCTTTCTTTTTTTTTTTTTAATTCTCGATCTATTCGGATTCAATAAATCACAATAGAACCGCGACAACACGAAAGACAATTTAACCATCCGCGGAAGAAAAGCTGAAGATGACAACCTATCAGTCAAAGACGTTAATTTTGATGCCTCACTTTGCCAGCGCCTTATACATTTATCAGAAGATCTTTTTGTTCTTCAATAAAATATAGCTGTGCGACTGCTATAACTTATTATAAGAACAATGCTTCCAGAAATTATTCTTCTTCATTTATACATATTTAATGAGTATTTTTGTGTAACGAGGTCACTGGAATATAAAAAAGCAGTCTTCAGTGAGTCTTGCAGACTGGAGAGAGTTAAAACTTTTATATATATATGAAACGAGACAGATGTGTTTTGGGGATGAGATATTTCAGCGAACAAATCACTTTTCTGACAAATGCAGAAATTTCCACGTTTTGGAATGCTACAAATATAGAGATTCAATTTTCGTAGGGGAAAATGCGCGTGGGTGATTGTTGCCTGCGAGTGAGACGTATGCCGTTAGTGCGAGTCTTTCGTTGCACAGATATGGGACCACCAGGACTGTACTTCCTGTAATAGGAAGTAAAATACTGGAAGCGAAAAGAAAAAAGTAGCTATTGTAATAAAAATAAAAGGATTTTAATGCTCATTTATTTAACAGCCGATATTGCATCGAGATAAGTTTAATTGGACATTTTAAAGACCTGAGCTCTGAAGTTACTCAAAGACGGTCCGAAAATTATATTTGCGTCTTCAATCCACGAGATTTATTCGTAAGGAGCAGGGGTTTTGACGGAAGGAGAAAATCAAAGCGGAAAATCGACAAAAAATGATGAAAGTACAGACACTAAAATGTCTAGTAATAGGGTAAAAAATGAATTGTGAGGAAATGATCTTCAAAATTCCCACCGATCAAAATAGAAACTCTAGAAAGTTCACACAAACATCAAGTTTTCAACTTGTTTGCCAGCTAAAAGTTCACTTGTTTTCCTTGTTTTTGAACTTTAATTATGGACTCCAAAAATACTTCAGCTCGCCATCCCGTCCCATACTATATACCTAGATCTGTCTGTGGGGTTAAGGTAGTGCTGTAAAGATATCTGATTTGGTCTGATCGCCACCGAGTTTTACCCGTATCAGGATTTCCTTTTATCGTCTCGAGTTGAAGTTGAAGGTTTTTTGTTGTTGTTGTAGTTGTTGTCCGCCTTCTGACTTCTTTTTAAATTCAGTGTAGTATTCATTAAGTGTCACAGCTACATGTGAGAAATCTGCTGAAAATGACTATAGGAAGAGATTTCGTGCGCTGCAAACGCGCATACGTGTGCTCAAGATGGCACCTTCATATAGGGGCCAAACATGTCTTCATAACCTGTAGAACTCATTGATTGCACTTTTTATTTATGGTTAATTACGTCGTTCAATGACTCACCAATTTAGCGGTTTCTCATGATCACAACAACCTTGCACGTGAGCACAAGGCGAGTTGATACAACCAGTTACCTTGCTATACTCTCCCACCAACGCAGCACCACAGTTTTTATAGAAACTTGCCGCCTTTAGCACGTGAAAAGTTTGTTTTTTCGGAAACAAGCGCTCGGAATCCAATATTTTGACAGTTTCATTATTGAAGCCTCAGTTCGATAAAGCAAGTTGCCCATGATTTTTTTACTTCGCGATCTATGTCATTTATAATACTACTTATTTAATATGCATCTTTTTATTTATTATATTTTGGGAAATTTTTTTGATACCTTCTCTCTACGATGAAAGATCGAAAAAATAAAACACCGACCCAAATATAGTTTGTAACGAGCCAGATCCAGACTACCCAAAAACTGAAAAAGTTTCCTGACGCGACATAATTGAACGCACATGAAATATGAAACGTCGTGTCATGAAATAGAAGATAACAGACATTTAGTGTCATAGCTTTATGATCGGTCGTTTGATTTGACAGAGAAAATGTTGATAGCTTTTTGTTCAAGGCAGAAGGGAGATGTTTTTGAGTTCGTTTGAAGTTTTTCTTTCGCTTTCGGCCCTGCATGAGTAATGCTGCCGGTTATAAATCATTTTGGCGACAGTTCTACCTGCAAATGGTTTATCTCTAGAGTATTTTCAAGTATTATGACGTCAAAAAAACTGATCAGTTTTCCATATTCACTTTGTTATTATTCATAAATGAAGTAGCGGCGAAAACGTCTTTCATCAACATATTTTAATAGCTAACCGCAATACGTTCGTTTCGACACGAGACAATAACGACAGGTTTTGCAGCTAAAAGATCCTAAACTAGTTTTTAAAGATCAATATCCGCTGACTGGTGGACAAACGCACTAGGTATGATTCTTCAACAATGGTTTCATTAACATCTCAACGAGCCGAAGAACGATATAAATAGACAAAATAGCTCGTAAGTAAGGTAGTTGTCCCTGTCATTTTGCGTCAAGGGGCTCTCTAATGGATGCTCAAAATTTTAAAAATATTAGGAAGGTACTTCACATAAAAACTGGGGTAACAGGTTTGCCTTAATCCTTTTTTTCAGGGTTGAATTTTATGCTGAGCATATACAAGCTTCACAGGTGAACCTATGCATGCATGGTAGAAAATTTATCTTTTAATGACATTTCGTCAACGTGAAAGATGAGGAGATATAAATAGCTTTTAAGTGATTTTATATAGATAACAAGAAAATATTCAACATATCATTAGTTGCCAAATTTCAATACTCGGAGTTTAAATGGTTAACCAAGTATTTTCAGCCGTAAGCTTCCTCGACACAAAGCCTTGAGATGATGAGCAAAGGACACTTAGTTGAAAATAAACTTTGTTTGAGGGCCAGGAACCTCTGTCATGACGCAACGATGCGAAAAACACATTCACCAAATGAGTTTTGAGAAATAGAAAACGCGCTGGAATAGAAATCCATAACCTTTACTTTATTCGACTATCTTCAACGTGGGTCATATTCTGAAAATCGTTCATTTATATCATCGTTTACAATTACCTTCGAGGTTACTCTGTACGCAGCGAAACGAGATAGAAAAGAAATGCTTCGGTTTCAAGCAAGGGCGGGTAGCGTGTTAAACAGGTTTCTTGCACTAAAAACATCTAAATGTAAACAATGTGGTTTGGATACTTGTTCACTTCGGTCATTGTTTTCATAGCGGTATGGTATAGAGGGAAAACTGAGAATAATTATTGTGATGTTTCTGTGAAAAAACCCTTCATAAGTTCTATGTTAAACCACTTAACTTAATGAACTCACTTATTGTTAGTGGTCCTTATTTGAAACAAAGACCTCTAGACGCGAAATCCAAGCGCCAATCCACCAGTTTCCGCGGCCGGCTTATAAAAGGTGTTTCACGGTTAAAAAAGATAAAAAAAGGTTTTATGGAAGATATGCAGATTAGAATACTTACTCCGAAATCAACGAGTTTTCTGCGTTTGCATCAAACATTGTTAGCAATCGAGAGCGGCGTGAGTATACATATGAAATTGTCTTACAACATGGTTTACCAGAAAGCTTATCCATATTTGACGACTCTTTCATTTACAAAGAGTTTGCCTTTGGTTTTGTGATAAAAGGAAGTTCTTTGTGCGTGGGTGACTTATTTATTAAAGCAATTACAATTCTTTCGAAATTGTTATTTAACCTGTAATAATTTGTGGGCGTCAGTTTCTATGTATCATTTCATAGTAATACGGAAATTATCAAAAATTTTTTGACGAAACTTAATATGATCGCCTGAATCGGTGATTAAGATCAGACTGGTACCAGGATATGACGTAAATCTCGTGACAGAAACTAAAAGATTATATTATTGTGCTAATTTCGTTTCTACGCGTAATTCTGTTTTGTTTCTCACAATGACCTGATGCTCAATTTTATTTCATCGCGTGAAGAAACAGTAGACAATAGGTTTTCTTTAAAATGTTTCATTTGTGAATCAACTGAGCTTAAAACAAACCGTTTTGTAAGGTGAGGATCTTGTTTTTCTTCAAGTATTTCGATTTAATTACCTTTTTTTTTCGAAATTGTCGCCGACGTTTAATGGAGATCTCAATTGATTCAAGAAAAAGCCTCTTTTCTGGGCTTCTCACAGGCTGATAAATTTGGTTCTATTGATGTGATATCGATTTTGTTTTGTAGACAATGTATTACCAGGACAGTAATTTCATAGAGGCTTTTGTGCTTTCGTGTTCTGAAAGGTTAATACAGGTTTAAGGTGTTCTCATTTAGTTGAGGCAGATGCAAATGTAAAAGACTTGACATTTTAAATCTCTAACACCTGTTTTCTATTGTCTAAGTAAAATACATATGTAAACTTCTCTGTTGTATCCTTAGATTTTAGTATGAAGTATGATTTTATTCTTGGAAAAAATTGAGGCGTCGGCCGGGACTAAACACTGAAATTTATCGTAGATATCTACCACTAACATGATACATGGTTTGGATGACTGGTCTTCTTTTAAAATTATCATATTATGAATGCATTTTAAGGATCAGGTAATGTCTTAGTACAAAAGTAGCAGATTGTTTTTGGTTTTAAGCTTAAAAGCTTCATACGCGATCAGTTACCGAAATAAGTGTGAAACTGACAACAAACTTTTGTTCTTACACATCTTTCTTTGACAAATGCTTTTCGACATCCCAGCGGCGAAGTTAGTGAATGTGGAATTAAATTTCTTCATTTGCCTCTAAACCATTGTGCTCGTTTCCATATTTATTGTAACAGCTTGAAGGAAAAACAACACAAATTTCATTTTTCTCTAGGAAATGACGGTATAGGAAAGATGCTGCAAAACGAGAAAGAGTCGTGTTCAACTCCAGTACACCTCGACATGGGAGGCGAATATTGTACTTTAAGAGAAATTTCTGATGCGGCAGCTGCGGCTGGAGCAACAAAGAAGCTAACCAGTCAAAAACCTGAACAAAATGCACAAGCTAACCACACAAGTCGAGACGATAAGGATATCAACCTGAGCCCGAGGCACAAAGTGTTACGCTCAAAGTCAACTCCCGGGCGAGAAACACCCGTGAACATCGTACTTGACACAGAAGGTGTGTCAGCTAAACACGTGAATGGTGTTCAGCCGAGTGCGAGTGGCCATTATGTGATAGCCCCAGCGAGACGAAGCACAGGTCATGTCAAACCAGGAGGCAGGCGAAGTCTCGGGTCTCTTTCTACTCGGGAGCCGCCTGCTCCACTCTGCTACTTCGCATATCTAGGCAAGCTCACCCCAGCGCCGAAAGATACTCAGCGGGGACGGCTTCACTCGGCGCATGACATCTTAGCTGATCGGCCGGTGATAATAACGAGCACGTCGATTATATCTCCTTACGCCACCAATGTTATTTGCCAGGAATTTGAAGCGATCGAGGAGGATGAAAGACGTGGAGATTGCCACGACCTCTTGGACTGTTGCACGTGCATGTGCTGTGTAAAAGGACTCTTTTACCACTGCACCAAAGATAACAAAGATGAAGGTAAAATTTCCGAGGATCCCTGTTCATGCCAGGGGCCTGTGAGCGAGTGCATGGGCCGCTGGGGGATCATGGGAGTCATGTCCATATTCATGCCTTGCCTGTGTTGTTACCTCCCTTTTGAGGCATATTTTAAGTGCCACGACTGTGTGAAAACTATGAACAGCGGAGATGAACGTGAGAGAAGGAGGGATCCTATAGGATGCTCGTCTTCGGAAATGGAACCTGCATCAATATCGATGAATTCCAGAAATGGAACTGTGATATAGAAATTATTAATAATTTCGTCGAAGCCCTGTAGATTCACTTTTATCTCAGGGATAAAGTGTCCATCCTATTTTACTCGCCAAATGTTAATATTTGGTATATCATGTCAATCCAAACATTTTGATCAGTAACGAGGATGAAATTTGCTGGTCAAATTTAAGGTAGCTTTAAAGTACTAAGCGCCGTGTTTAAAGTAGGTTCCCCCTATCAGTTGTTTCCCCGTCAGCAGGAAGAGCGAAAACCTTGTAGTCAGTAAAATAGGGTATCGATTAGCAAGTATCTAGTAAGACGGTTACAAAACGGGACAATTCTTAGTTCCTTTTTATGTGTAGGATTTCAAGACTCGTCATGTCTGCCACATATACCATCCAAAGATAAGAGTTTGTCGTACAATCAATCGATGTCCTCCTTGTTAACATCTTTATTCTTATTGGCTGATTTCTTGACAGTCTATTGATGCTTTAATGAGAGATGACTTATTGATCCCTCCCGGGAGTGAAAGGGTTTTTCTTTAGCTAGAGAGTAACCCAAAAGCGCATTACAGTGTGGAATCATACCAGTTACTGATAACTGGAAATATAGACACGTTCTAAACTAACCGCAAACCAGCAGACTGGGGCGGGATACCTTATATAGTATTAGAAATTGCATACTGCTGTAACATTGAGTGGTAACGACTCCCAAATAACGCAAATCAAAGTAAAAAATAGATTCCGCATACCGTGCCTCTGGTCAGTAATAACAGATCACAAAAAAAAGTAATGGCACACGTGGCGCAGCCAAGTGGGGCACTGTGATCTTTAACTGTACAGACCAACGGTAACATGGAATCTCTTTGCTATGTATGATGAAAACAAACAACCAAAATGTTGTTTATGGTAACGTCATTTATGCGTCTGTCCAATAGATCATAGGAACCAACTAGAATGTGTGCACAATTGATCTTATCAGTTAACTTAAGAAAAAAAATACCAAATCATTGCCATATGATAGATTGCTTGATATAGATATAGTTCTGCTAGGTTTCACTCGGAAATCAGCTTCGTTCGATATGAAACGCAATTTATAAATGGATGTCTGTAAATACTGTAGAAAATAGCAAACTGAATTTGTAACGATAACAAAACAGAGTGAGAAGTATATGGAAGGTCCTAGAATCTTTTAATTCAATTCTGAGCTGATATCGGCGTGAAATATTTACGAAAACATTTCACATAGTTTCTTAGCTTCATTGCTTATCTTTTAGAAATATTACATGATTCATTACTAGTTGAATTATCGAAGTAAGTGATAATTAAACTTCTATCCTGACCGAGGAGTTACATTTCTTAATATATACAATATCAGTCTAGTAGAATGAAACACCTCGTATGAAAAATAAGGGAAAAAATGAAATGGTTTTAAGTAGTAAGCACAGTTCTTATCAGAGCTGCATGGTTACCTACACTAGGCACTGGAAAATAACTCCCTATCATGTAACATTTCGGCGTTTTTAACAATATCTCCCGCAGGATATACACAAACAGGTCATCTTGATGCTTTAATGCGGTTTGGGTTTTTTTCGGCCATCGCACCGCAGGCAATCTCACACAAGATTAAATTTACTGGCCTCTTAGTATCGGCCTCTAGTGAGTGGCTAAAGTTTCTCAAAAACATATCGTACCTGTCACCTTTGCTACCATATTTGGGTAGAAACGTATCCGTTTTGATCCGTTGGCTGTTAAACCTCAGCTTGTCCCAAATGTTATAAGTAAATTTTAACGTTTTCAGTTTCAGTGTTTGCCTCTAGTTTGAAAAACGCTCCCTCACATAAAAAAAAATTAAAAACGCATAAAACAAACAGAAAAGAAAACAACCAAAGCAAAATTCAAATTGATTACGGTTATTTTTGAAGGCTTGAGACATGACGTATTGAATGATCAAACAAATTACGTCAATGCAAAAATACACGGAGGAAACAACGTTATAATCCACAAAAATTTTACCTTAGTTATGTTCTACTCGTGAATCGAGAACGGGAAACTTATTCTCATAAAGCTCCGTGACTTTACGTGAAATAGAAAAAACTTCGGAACAGCTCCAGTTGTTTATTCGCTGACTAATCACTGAGCTTCTACTACGTCATCGGTAAGATATTTTTCTGTCTTTTTTTCAGAGCTCTGTTTTTCTCTGTATGTATACATATATATGCTCGGTCCGTGCAAACGTTTTGTAATCATCTCTCCACATTCGTATGTAGTAATTGTTCATTTTTATTCCCTTTCTGTTGCTCTTTCGAGTCTTGAGGAATTTTTTACGGTTAATTTTCTCAGCGACTAACTGTTAAAATTTGTCAATTTTTAAGCCTAACTTCTAATTTATCTCGAATTAACAGGGTAGCTAAGTAGTTAATATCTTCGAGAACATTGAAATAAATTGGAAAATGGACTTTGTAAATATACATAAACATAGAGTTTAAAAACTCTAACTGGTAGGAACCGGACCAGTCTGTTGTAATCAAAAAGCAGCCAAGGGGCTGAAAGCAGGGCGGAGGGTTTTAAGCTCCATGTATGTAGCCTAAAAATCATATCTTTGCGAATCGTTTTGAAGCGTAATTTTAGTTAAGAAATGGTTAACGAGCAGCTTGTAACCCATCGAGTTTAAAGGCTGACGTTTCGAGCGTTAGCCCTTCGTCAGAGCCCTTGGCTCTGACGTCAGCTTTTAAACTCTTTACGGTGGCCAATTTACATTATCAACTCAGTTGATAAAACCAAACAGTCCAGAGAATAACCTAGTTTAGCTAGAATACTCACGCCTCAAAATCTCCTTATCAGCAGCGATCCATAGAAAAAGATATGGCCATACGAAGATCGCCATCAATATCGGAACTAGCAGATTCGCCTTCAGATTCAACACGCCACGATACCGCAATAAGTGTCCTTGTTAGTAATTCTGACAGCGATGACTCTAGGTTAAAAAAAGAGCAGCCAAAGAAAGGAAAGAAAAAAGATTCTCTTCGAAGATGCAAATCCTTTCCGTTTAACGGAGAAAGAAAACATAGCAAAGAAACTCAGCCAGGTGAGTGGAAGAGCGCTTGGGATAAGGAAAGAGGATATGTTACAGACCTTATAGCAGAAAACCAACCCGTCAAGAATCAACCTCAACTCTCCTATTTTGCCTATCTTGGTGCCAGATCCCCACATTTTGTGCGTTACCAAGCCGTTTCGAGCGATGCTGATGTCATTATTAACCTTGGGACAGATATCATCTCTCAAAATAGGGCCACTGATCGTATAAATTCTCCGGAAAGAAAGGAATTCCAGGGTGAATCTGTTTATGCCAGCGAGCCGTTAAAACCGGATAGAACACAATTGATAGAGTGCTGTACTTGTATGTGCTGTGTCAAAGCTGTGTTTTATCATTGCACCAAGGACGACGAAGATTCAGGGAGAAACTGGGCCGACGAGCCTTGCTCATGTGAGGAACCTGGGATCGATTGTGCGGCTGGATGGTGCATCATGGGAATCTTTTCTCTATTTATTCCTTGTTTGGTCTGTTACCCTGTCATGAAAATCTGCTCTAATATTTCTTTTAAATCACTGAGTAAGCAGGAAAGTAAGGGAAAGAAAGGTTGCCGCTCTTGTCTATCGGTAGTGAATTAGGTGGGAGTTTAGCCCCCGAGGGAGTTAGGGTTGGGGGGAATCACACTAGATTCTTACTGACGTTTGGAAACCTGGCGGGTTGTTTTACTGTTACAAAAGTTTTATTTCTTGACAAAGGTGGGAAAGGGGGCTGGTGGAAATAAGACATCTGGGCTGCGCAGTACAGTACAGTAGCCTCCACATCGTACCCAATTAAACCTTTATGCAAACGACAAAGCCTGGTTTGACTCAGGTCATATTCGTGAGTTTGCTGCGATTTAAACGACAAATTTGAGTGTTATTCACCTATAACGGTATCGTAGACACTACTTGACAAGATACACACATTCGCCGTAACCAAGGATTTTGTTAGCAAGGCTCGAAGCTTAATGTTTCGATCTAAAATTTTAGGATTATCATAATTTTTAACATCATATTCATATGTTAGTTAAATAGCTTTTCACTTAACATTTATATCTCAGCGGTCACTTGCATTTTGTTTAATAGTGGCTGCAACATAATTTTTATAATTAATTCTTTTTTATCTTAATTTTAAATTTAAATTACTCGTAAAATATCTGTAAACTCGCCCCCATGAATAAGCATATTTTCACGTTAAATAAAGCTATGCTGTTTGTTCTCTTTATCATATGAACTACGGTGTTATACAAGGATTTCTAGTCCTGAGAAAAGCTGTAACAACACACGTGAAAGAATACGATATTTTTTCCACGTCTGTTGGATATCGCCAATCAGCTGCTGACACGTCACTCGCCTTTCGCGCCACTCCTTCAGGTTGATGAGTGAACGGCGAAGTATTCACCATTCTCAATCCAAGATCGTTTGTCGGATTTTTTTCGGGTTATGGCAGCTAAAGCACTGAAAAATCCGTATCGCTTATAGACAGTAACGTTCAAACTTTCCTAGAAGATGAAGAAAACCAAAATACGGAAAGAAAAACCAAAGGTTATGTATTGAGAGGCTTTGGTAATGACATTTCTCGCGGCTGAGAACAAAAATCGACCACTGGAACATTTTTCACTGGCTAATTTTGGCCATGAACCCGAAAGATTTCTTCTGTCAGTATGGACCAAGTCAACAACTAAGAATTTTTTATATTGAAAATTACCCCCGTTGTTTGTCTTTGTAGTACAATATTTCAACGCATTTTTTCATCTTGAGCCGGCTTAGCTTCAACGCACTGTGCAATTTTTATTCGGGGATTGTCGATCCTTTTACTTTCAGTCATTAGTTAAGTCGACTTTTCTTTTCAGTAAAGGGCTGTTCTGTTTATATGATAAACAAAATAATACATGGTTGTTTGTAGATATGAAATTTCTCTTCTCGTGTTCAACTCGACATCTCTCTCGTTTGCTGCGCTCATTGGTTAGAAATCGAGGATCTATAGGAAGGTAAACGCAAACAGAAAATTTGCCTTATGGCTATTTTTCTTACTTAATCGTTTAAATCAAAGCAGAGTTGCTGCACCAACACATCTGTCTATCAGATCCATGCTCCAAATTGAAATACTTTCATGGTTCATTTTCTAAGCTGCAAAAACGTTTTGCTCTCTCTTTTGACTGATACAAACAATTCAACAAAAGACCGTAGTGCAATTTATAACTCAAATATTTTATTGACAACTTACTGTCTCGTGAGACGATGGCACAACTGCACTCGCGCTCAAACTCTTTTAGGCTGCAGCCCCTAGAGTGGTTGAACAAGGCGATTTAGCAGCGGCACTGAAGTAGTCTCTCCAGAGTGCAAGCCTGGGCGAAGTTCATGGTAATTCTGGGCTGCCCAAGACGTCAGGATCCCCCTCTCGGCCTTACCGATATGGTCCAAAGGAAAGGAGAGAAGTACGTTTGGCACCAGCTTGGCTGCAGGAGTTTGCCGGGTAGTTGACGAAAAACACAACTAACTGCCTCAAAGGGGCTCTGCTCCTTGATTTTATGTCAGGGTTTATTCTCTTAGGTGGTTTGTCGACCAAGACTAACGGGGTCCGCCTCCCCGCAGTGGAGCTGATATTATATATTTCACCTATAATTGGAACCCTCAGCAGGTTCTCGTGCTCCGGGTCAGAGCACTCCTGGGAGCAATAATGGCTAAGGGGTAGCTGGAGAAGGCTCTAATTGAGTACTGATGTCTAGAGACTCTCAAAACGGTTCGCGCACAAGGTTAAGAACTTCGTGGAGCTGTCTGCACTGAAATAAAAACCTGGCTTAGTTTCCAGGCCCTGTTGGCTCAGTAATTCTTGGCCCCCTTTATACGACGTCCTCAAGAGGCTACGCTTCCACCCCTTTCTAGAACTTACGCCAAAACAACGGAACAAGAGAGTGGCTATGGACTAGGCTGGAAAAAAACCTAACAACTACTCTTGTGCACTGGAAATTGAAAGTTGGCCAATTGAAGTTGGCCATTTCCGACTTGGTCGCGTCCTCTCTGAACATACAAACATTACTTCCGGGATAGGGCAAAAGTAGAACTGCAGCATAGTTTTGCTACAGGATAACACACCAAACAAGGCAAAAACGTTGAAAATATTCCCAGAAAGCTCCATCGGACCGCACAATCTGTCCAAGGCATCTTGCATGCGCAGGGCTCGTCGGCCCAGTTTCTCTCGATCTCTCCGTCCTCTGTGCAATGGTAAAAGACAGCTTTTACACAACACATACAAGTAATACACTCTACAAGCTGTGTCCTGTCAGTTTTTGACGACTTGGTAAGGGCGATATTTTTGCTTTCGAGTTCATCTATAGTTTGAGCAGTGCTTGGCGCCTTCTCTACAACAAAAATGGCGTTTGTCATATTAATTATCACTTCTGCATCGCTTGACACCGCTTGGTAACGCCCCTTACTTGAAAAAGAGCTGCCAAGATAGGAAAAGTAAGAGAGCTTCGGTTGCCTTGTGACGGGTTGTCCATCTGCTATCAGGTCTGTAACGTAACCTCTTTCCTTGTCCCAAACACTCCTCCATTCCTCTGGGTTGATTTTTTGGCTCTGCCTTGCCATTCTTTTCTCTGGTGAAGACATACTTCTTCGTAGAGACCTTTTCTTAACTTTTTCTTGAAGTTCTTGGTAAATGAAAGGCTTCGATGAGTCTCTCGGCGATCCAACAAGATCGGTCAGTGAGGAGGACCTCCGTGATGTCATTCTATTTGAAGGTGATTGCCTAGATTACAGAAAGAACCACTCCATGTTTCAAGATACAGACGTTCTTTATTTCAAAGATATTGAATTATAGATCAGTGTCAAGACTCCTGAAATGCCCAGTTTTCCCTTCCCTTGTGTATTGGTGTCCCCCCCCCTCACCCTCTCCCCCACTCCTCCTCCACCAGCTCCATCCTCGTTACAGTGTTCAGTTCCTTAATAGCGCATTTTTCTGTGGTGGAAGAGAAGAGGAAAAGGAAAAAGGAGCACCTCATTTAAGTAACGAAGAACATCTAATAAATCATAGCACGTTCTCAAAGAACGTCATTCATTCTCCCAAGTACTTTTGCATATAATAATTAGCTACGTTCACGAGAAATATCCAGATTTCCTCTCTTCCGACACTTGACACCTTTTCAAAGTTAAACACGACCTTTCACGGCCAAGCTCAAGCTGATATGGCGACTTAAAACGCGCGATTTATTGGCTGCTTTATGTCATGCGGTGCAAAATCACCGGACAGTTACTTTGCAATAACCTCGGTCTACTTCAATGTTCTCATTAATTCCGACGAAAAGAAAAAAGGTAACCGTTAGCTGTAAGAGCCTTCACCCCAATGAGACCCTCTGTAAAGGTTGGAGGGAGGGAAAAAAACGAAAACAACGCAGGTAAGTCTGAGCAGTTTCAGTGATGCTTTGGTGATTCAAGAGTCAGTATCAATGACGCTTTCGGCAAAAGTTACACAGTCCGAAATTTCGCTGTCATCATGAAAAAAAAAAATGAATTCAACGCTCAAATGCCGAACTCGCCTTTTCCTCAGACTAAATAAATTCAGTGTAATAATCAGTCTAACTTAATAACTCAGATTGTTGGTTTTATAAAAAATTTTTACTATTTTCAAAGCAAACTTACCAGCAGATGTTCCCTATTTCAATTTCCGCAGATTCTTCCATTAATATCACTGTTTGCTCCTCCACAAACGCGAACAGTCTTGCCAATGGACAACGAGCGAGATTATGACACGAGGGAAATAAGAAAACTAATGTTAATATAAACTTGAAGTGGCATTGACGTATGTCTAGGAGATATTTACGTCAGCAGCTAGCCAAGAAAGGTGCTGAAACTATCCTTTCAAGCCTGACCAAAACACAGCATATGTTATTCCCGGCCAGGTTAAAGTTCTGAGCCCTCGCACTCAAACATACGCATCTAACCATCTTGCTCATTGTTAAAAGAATCATTTCCCGATAAAGAGGCCAGCGACTACTCTCTGCAGTAGTAGTCAAATAAATATATTATATCAGAAACAAATTTTGACTCGAAACAAAGCCTTCAAAAAAAGTCTTAAACACACACAAAAAATTAAGCGAGATACTGAAGGTCAATAAAGGCTGAAATCGAAACTCAACTCAAAAAAACAAACGAGTGTCTACGAATTTTTCTACGTCAACCTCGATGTCAAGTTTAAGGTCTCTGAACATGATTGGTTGAAATGATCAGGTCGTTGAAATGTAATTAGTAAGTTTAATTAGTGTAATTAGCGTATTAACTTACCACCAACTTACTTATCAGTATTTTTTTCCTTCTCTTTTTGGAGAAATCGAACCCAATCGTCAGGTTGGATTTGGCCGGGGTCCGATCAGTTCCCAAAGGGGACTTTTTTTCCGCGTCCTTCGTTCATGGATAACGTTCAGAACCTTTCTTGTTCCCCTCAGGTGGTCAGTTATCCAGCAGAACAGAAAAAAACACTTCTGAGTTGTGACGTTATTGTTGTCCGTTAATTACCCCTTCTATCAAATGACGCACTAGATTCGCCAGTAACGTCACAAGTTCCTTCTTTTTGGCACTTTCAGGTCCAGCCATAACATTTCAATCACTTTGAGAGAGTATACCCCAGAGAGTCAACTCAGCAAAATAACATAATGGAAGGTACCTTAACTTCGTTTTCTTATTTACAGGGTCGAGAAAACCAATGTCCAAGCCGGACATATAAAGCGGTTCAGGGCGTGGCTTTATCACTCGAACAGTCTTCCAAACACAACGTCTCTATTTTTCCTTTCTCTTTTTTTCCACCAATGACCTTGGAGACCATCCACGGAAGACCTCCATAAACACGATAAACTGAATCAGATTTTCCATGAATATTTTGCCCTTTTTAACACGTTAATTGCGCGCATGCGCAAGAGCGAGTTGCAGATATGATGTGGAGAATGGCACTCGCTCGCTCGCTCGATTGATCGATTCCTGTAAACTTTTTTTCGATTTTAGGCCTTTGAGTGCATTTGATAGCTTTTGGCGAGTAATAAACAAACGAAATAGCGACCTTCTTTGCGAAGAATAGTGCTGGAGTGAAAAAGAAGCCAATGATAATCTTAAAAGAGTTTATTTTTTTTCGTTTTAGTTTCAACAAGCGGCGTCAGCGACTGGCAGGCGTGCGAGGATTCACACTGAAATGAGAGAACAACCTTCGCTTTTCATAAAATTGTAAGTTAAGATCCTTGAACTTGAAAACAATCCGAAGATTCATTAAAAATATAACTTACTCCGAAGCGCTCGGAGTTTACAGGTGTTCAAAAGCTTTTTCTGTTATGGCGTGAGATTGGGGACAAAATCGATCATTACATTTCGTATCGTGTGTTTTTTCTGTGTGAAGCAACGAAAGGTGCCGGCGACTGACGAAATTACAGGTTAACACGGAAATCAAATAACACCTAAACAAATAATTTTGGCCACCGATTTTCAGTGAATTTTTAAAGAACAATTTTCTTTTAAGTTTCAAGGATATTTGAAGATTCAAACTAAATATTACGTACTAAAATGCGAAAGTTATACACCACAAAATTGATAAATAGGCCTGAAATTAAATTCTGCCTTGTTCTTGATTATACGTTGCCTAGCACGTGACTTAAATCTACCCAGGCGGAGATCCAAAATGACGGTGGCAGCCTGGGCTTAGTTATATCACTCAAAACTCGTTTCCCCTTTGTCTCATTCGATAAAGAGGGAATCATTAATGTTTTCATTGAGACAGTATTGCCTTGATTTTCCAATATTCACAATGATAGACAGTAAATTTTACCAGAAATGAACCAGAAACAAAAATGATATATGTTTAAAACACATCATCCACCCTTGTCAAATGTCATAGCATGATCATTTCAATTGTAATGCCTTCTTATCCCAACGTTACTTTGTTTCTTTGCTACATTAGCGAACACTAAACTACTGCTCGTACTCTAAATATGACAATCAACCACAAATTCCCTAAACCAGATAACATTAAACATAATCCAAAAAATCATGTTAGTCATCTGTCAATAGGCCATTTTACAGTTATGTACTTAGTTGCCAAGCCTTTGATTTGGAGTGAGGCTGAAGGTGACCTTGCTGTGTTAGAGACCAGAATCTAGTTAGCATGATAACAACTTAATTTGCATTTCAAAAGCAGCAAGGTTTGTATCATAACAAGGTCACCCTTAGCCTCACTCCTGTTCAAAGGCTTGGCAACCAAGCACACAACTGTAAAATGGACTATTCACGAGTTTGCTCACAGAGCACTTTGATTTTTCTTGGCAGTAAGGAGAGACCATTCATAAATAACCACGTCAACCAAGCAAAATTACGACTAATATTCCTTCTCGGAAAACTTAAGGTTTAACGGTATCAAGACGTCGATGTTCCTTTGATTTTGCTAAGTGTTTTACCATTCGGACAAAACTTTAGGATGGAGAATTTCATAGTCCTTTCCAACATTAGTGACCGTGCATACGACTGAAAAATACCTTAACTAAAAATTGACGGACGGTTAACGGCATGCGAATCGTTCCGAATTACAGCGTGGCTTCACTGACACCGCGTGATCCGAAGGTCTGAGGTTCGTTTACTCATAGGGAAGACACATTTTTTTCCTTTGTCCAATTCTCGAAATTTTACCAGCTTCCTAGACATATTTACACAACAATGTATCCTTCAGCAACTCTAGTTAAACAGCAACATTTAAAGAAGCTTAAAAACTGACAAAATTGGAAGGCTTTGTTCGTATATGCGAAGTCTGGAAATGCTCCCCTATCAACCTTTCACAAAATATCATATTTTCCTAAAAAATTGACAAATTCAGAACGACCTGATGTAAATAGCCAACGCAAAACCTTTTCAGACGGCTAGTAGATGGTCAAGAAATCGGGTTGCCACCGCGAGAGATCTGAGAATTTATTGCCAGTTAATTCAGGTATGCTCTCACTATCAATGTCTAAAAAATGAACTGAACATATCTATTTTTTCATTTGTTTTATCATGAAGTCACTTCAACAATCACTGCAAACATTACGAAGCGCTTAATTAGCTGCTTCAATCTTTATTCCTGTTGACCATTTCGCTCTAGTAGACGGTCGGTAGTCGACCGTCACATATATTTTGAGAAGGCCCTTAGGCTCATGGGAATTTTTTCAGTTCCATGGGAGTTTTGACGCCTCATGCTGTTTGAACGGTAGAGGTTTTCTTTTGCGAACAGCAAAAAATTTTTCATTTAATTTTCGAGTCATGTTTCTCATGAGCGGCGGACGAATGACGAGAAAGGGCGGAACGACATGAGGAAACCTTGCATGGATGGGAAACGAGTTTCGTAGAGAAAATTTTAAAATATAATTTCTTTTTTTCTTTTTTTTAATTTAACCGTCGATATAAAAGCATGTTGCGATACCTTTACACCTCTCAAATAAATTTAATGGATTTCACTTGACATGAAACCTCGACCTTGCATCAAATGTAGCCTGTATGCATTTATTTGCCTGATATATTTTCATTTTCTTTGCTTTGCTGTGAAAAAGAAAAAAAATAGTGATTGGACAAACTGTCTTCAATACATGCCGGCCCCTACTAATGACTGCAAACGAAGAGTCAAAGATTCAAAGTAAAAATTTTCTTTACTATTAAAACTTACATACAAATTAATTAAAATTTAAGAAAGTGTAATATTCTAGATTCTGAATGAATTTGTAAAGTTC